AAGTCTGCCATCAATCTGGCAAGTGAGGTCTGGGTCTTTGCTTGGAAAAGACTTCSAGAAACACCTTCAGCAAGTGATGTGCTTGTATCTGACAAGAATTTGGACCCGTTCTTTTTTGTCTTTCTGACAAGYGAAATCTTCATTTGGCACTAATGGGGCAGATAAGACTCATCCTTGCCAGGACATTACCAGGACCCAAATACTGGTGATAGGATCTRAAGATGCAACTCAGATTTGATGTAAAAGCATTTCTGGCATTTCTGCACTGCTGGATACATTGTGACCTGGATGTAATGTGGCTTAAAACCATGCCTAGGTGAGACTGTAAGAATGAAGTGCCCAGTGCCTCTGTCAACAACCAGGTGTGAAGCAACTCTGCAGTGAATGTATAATAACTTCTCCTTACACAACAGCTCTGCTGTCCCTCGACCAGACTCATGCCTGCTTGTTTTCAAACTGCTAAAGGCACTGCAAGGCACCAAGACAAGGTCCTCCAAACAGGTTTCCTTGCTGCTGTCTTCAGCTGCCATCTCAGATCCCAAATTCAGGCTGTACAGTTGGTGTTTCAGGCAAAGGACCATCAACTTCTCTAAAACACCTCTGTTAACAGACCCAAGTGGAAACAGAATGGAAAACCAATCCCAGTTTGGGTGGGCTGGTCCATTTCCATGACAAAAGCCAGCAAGTTTCCAAGCAGCACCTACTGATAAAGCGGTGCTGATGTTTTTCCCAGTTCTTCTGATAAGTACCTCCTGGGAATGTATGAGAAGGCATGCATAATATGCTGCTCAACTGCAAAGCATAATGCCAATTAGACTGCGGAGCAGAGGCTAGAGGGCTATAGGGCGTTTCCAAAATGCCATCACCGTGGCTTGGGACACTCAGACAACCAAACTAGACACTGAGGAGAGGTTCAGAAGAATTGACACAGGAAAAGCCTTAATTCCATTTACTCTGAGGTCTCTGCTAGGCAGAAGAAAGGCCTGCAGCACAGCCCATGGGGTTTGGGTTTGCTGTTTTCTGTCCTTCAAGAGGGAGGTCTCCAGTTACTGGGATGTGGAAGTCTGGCAAACCTGATCCTTTCCAGGACTCTTTGCTGCAGACATGCTATTTACTGTCAAGCAGGTCYTAAATCTGCCCAGACCTGAGGAGTAAAACGCGGTCATATGGTACCTCTCCCAGCATATTTAAATACTCTTCTTCCCTTTACACAGACACTCTGCGTGAGTGTGTCTATTTGATGAATTTGGGAGGAAACACTGAAAACAAGTGTATTTGAGGTTAAACTGCTCGGTTAAGCAAAAAGAAAAAGAGCGGAAAAGGAACGTTTTAACTTTTAGAATGAAAGCCAATCATCAGAGCTTCCTGAGAAAGGGATACTGCTTCCTGGCAGAGTTAACCACAGCATAATACCTGTTCTTAATCTCAGCTCCACAGCTGCAAGGGTGGGCAGAGACCTCTCTCAGCCCAGCTCACTTCCTGTCCTGCTGTTCTGAGGACCAGGATGGTCACAGATTTCAGCCCACTCATCTGCAGTACCCATTCTTCCATCCCTTCCARTTCAGTCCCCTTGGGTGACAGGCCACATTTCCTCAGTGCAGTTCTCCAATGGACAGGGTAAATGCCTGTTCTGAAAGCAGGCTGCCCTGTAGTTTCGCCATTTTGTGATATCCCCACCTGACACAGGACGGGAGGCTTTGCTGAAAAAAAAGCAATGACTCCATCACTCCCAGATGTCCAAGGTGATGACACTGTGGTGTAGGAACAGCACAGCCCTGGGGCTGGAGCCATGCCCAGGAGGTTGCCCAGAAAGGCGATATGAGCAGAGAACTGCCCTCAGCACTGGGAAAGCTTTCCCCGTGCTGAGTCAGTGTATCAACAGGAAAAATGAAGATCTAGCAAGAGTAGTTGCAGAAAAGAGGTGTGGCAATGGAGGTGTGACAGAATTAAATTATTTCTGTTGGTAGGCACAAAGAAGAGGAGAACCTTCCCAAAACCTTTGCAGCTTAGGGTACCCATCACACCATAGGGAGCCACTSAAGGGATGCTCAGTCTTGGATTTCTTCCCTTTGCTGTGCAAGGAAATTTCAAGTGTCTCCATGCTCCCAAGCCCCTACAGAGAGGCTGGGAAGAGGAATGCCATGACTGCTGTGGAATACGGGCTGCAGAAAGCCACAAGCACTTTCGGCAGATGCCTTAACTCAGAACATCTGCAGCAAGGTTTGGGAACCTACAAGCCATGGGAATTAGCTTGGACCAAATCTGAAGATGTAAACTAGCAAACCAACAGAAAATTTTCTGATCCTTTTTATATCACGAGGGCAAAGCATGTTTAGTGGCTGCTTTTTCACAAGCAGCTTAGCTTACATCAGTGCAGTTTGAAACATTTTTGATACAAACTCCTCACATTAACAGTCTAAGCTTCATGATTTCAAGTTCCTTTCATCTGCCACAACACCGGAAAGGAAACTGATTGTCAAATCTATTTTGGATAAAGAAGATGGGTCTTTGCAAAAAACCAAAACCAAACAACAAAACAWAACACTGAAGATCAACAGACCCACAAAATTGCACGATCTGCAAGGACTGGGTTTTGCTGCCTTTTTCCCCCTCTTCAGGATCTYGAATGGTTTCAGTTGCTGCTTTCAATGTAGCACATTCCTGGCAGCAGAATGACTAAGACCAGAGTTACTTGTCCCTAATGAGCAGCAAACCCACATTCAAACCACTCTAAGAAACAGATCCCACTATCTTCCTTCTGTGAGTTTTTCAAAATCAAGGTCTTCCTGCCAGAGACAGTGATGGAAATCAGCTGGCTAGRTCAGCCTTCTGCCCTTTTCCTCCTAATGCTGGTAATCCTCATGTGTCCCATTAGAGCAAAGAGCTTGCCAGTTATGCCAGCAGGAAAGCACAGAGCAGCTCTGCCTGCCACTGATGAAGCAAGCAGGGAAATGACAGGCCTTTGCCCACTCCATCATTAGATCTGGTCTGAAAGCAAAAGGCTGTGGTGAGCCGCTGTGTTCTGCCTATGAAAAGGCCYCAGGAACAAACAGAGGAGAGAATCAGCTGGTGGGAACTCAAGTTYTTGCTCTTGGCTCTCTTTTGGTCTAATATCTTCTTACCTTTGGGACATCAAACACCTTTTTGGAGGCTTGGGGCAGCACCAAGTGCACTACTCATAAAATACCTTGGAAATTGAGATGTTTTAAAAATAAGAATAGATACAGCAGTCTACAGATGACAGACAAAAACAAACAAACAAACAAACAAACAAACAAAAACAAACCCAGGTAAAACAGGAAAAAGGTGAGAAATAGAAGTAAAGGGACCGAATCAAGAGCAGAGAACTCTTAGGTCAGACACTTCAGAGAAGCTTCCTGGTAATCAGACCTTCTGTATGCATCTCCCAAAAGGAAATGGCAAGTGTGTTCCTTTCTACTCTAACACAGACAACAGAAAATACTCAAGGGGTGCAGTCCTCTGTGTGTGGAGAGGAGAGAGGGTGMGGGAGAATATCCTCAGTGTACCAAAATGCGTGCTTCAGCCCTAAGTTATTACAAACTAGGAGCTCAATTCCCCCTCCCCTCTGAAATACCACAGGATACTACAGTGAAAAAGAGTAAAGCAGGTGTTAACAGTGACTGAACCAGGCTCTGTCAAACGTGAAAACCCTTACAAAGCCGCACATTTGTCATGTCATGTAATCTGAGTTGGTTTCACCACTGCTTGATCCTTCTCCACCCCAAAATCTATTTAGATAATTTGGTTGAGGACATTTTTGTAACAAACACGCCTGAACAGGCCAAATCTTTAACCTTTGCCTGTGGGACAGGTCAGCACAGATAAGGAGGATGGTGATGTTAGCACCTGGGTGTTATCACAACTGCCCAGCTGAGTTATGCACTGGAAACCTTCAAAGCAAAACTGAAGTGGCGCTTCAAGCACACTATTCCCTGGCTCTGCTGCGTGTCCCGTGGTGCCAGGGCTGCATCCACGCAGAAAAAGGCTTATCTGGGAAGATAATATAAAGTGTTTAGTAAGGTCTCTGTTTAGCAGAGGGAAATACCAAATGTCCTCTTTCATAATTTGAGGTTTTGCCAATGTTGTAATCACCTTTCTATTTCCTGTGCCCCTCCTAAACTTTTTTCCCCTTTCCACTTTAAGAAACTGTTTGAAAAGCTAGTGAATCCATCCTGACATGACCGAAACAAGCACCACCATTCCCGAATGAATGGGGCAGGAGGCAAAGGGAGGTGAACTGCCTTTCCCAAGAGAATGTTAAGACAGGAGAAGGCTTGGACAGAAACACCAAGGAAGCCAGAGTCCTGTCCACCTGCTSTGTGTCCACCCTGTGACACGAAATCCAACTCTTTTTAAGCACAGGGTACAGAGCACGGAGAAAAAGAGGCAGGAAACTCCCTAGGAATGTGCTTCTCCTTGGTCAAGAACAGGTTGTCAGGTCCCTTCTCTGACCCAAAATACTCTATTGATAACGAAAGTGAGATCTCCCAATCCACGTGGAAAAGGGTCTACACACAGCTGAGGATCCGAATCACAGTGCTGCTACACGGGTCAGGAAGGAGCCAACCCCAAAGAGCCTGTCAGTCCTGGAAGGTTTGTTCTCTTATGTACCCATTTTTAATGATTCCTTAAAACCTCCTTTGGGAATGATACCTTTTAAAATCTAAATCTCTAATTACAACTCGGAGACTAATAAGTAAACGCACCTCTTCCTCGTTCCCCTTTCACGGGGAATTACCACGTTTCAGAGGTAATTTATTCCCAAACCATCCCCCAAATTTTCCAAATCTGGACTAAAACCTGCAAAAGAATCTGAGGTAGACGACAGGGGTTGGGGTGGAGGGAAAGAGACCTTTATCTGAACCCCAGCAAAGACATATTTTGAAGCTGCCTTCAGGGAGAAATTGCTTTGCAAGGTGGAGCTAAAACAGACCGCAGAGCCAGTCACAAGTTAGTGGAAATACAAAAGTTTTCTTTACCTCCATGTCCTGCAAGAGAAAGGTGTCCGCGGGGCAATCTTTCTTCCCCACCCCTTTTCCTCTTATCTGTGGGAAAACCTCAGCCGAGCCAGAGCAGGAGCACCTCAGCCGTGCCGCCGTGGAGGGGGTGGAATATCCCGGCTCCTGCTCAGTTTGAACTGACAGAGCCCAGCGAGTGGCCCTGCACTACGAACAAGGAAGAAGGGCGGGTGGGTGAGAGGAAGGGAGGGAGGGAGGGGAGAAGAGGGGGAGGCAAGGCAATCAGGGTTTAAATTTAGAACAAATCTAAACAGATACTGTCCTTCCCCGAGTGCTGGGCTCGTGAGACAACATGCAACAAACACTGCCCCCACGCCCAAACTTGGGGACACACCAGATGTGCATTTCCTCTTCTCTTTTCTCTCTCCCCCTTCCTATTTTCTATCACCTTATCTTTATTCCCCTCCCACCCTTCCGTTTTTTTCTCTATTTCTCTCCACTGCTTGCATTTCCAGCTCTGATACCTGTTGCTTCGATTTCTCCCCTGTCCACACTTCCCTCTCCCAGTCTGTAGGGTCTCGTTCTTACTTATTTGTGAGGAGAATCCCTTTCCCTCTAACTGCAGCTTTCCTTTCTCTTCCTTCTTTTCAGTAATTTCACTCAGCAATGAACTGTCTTTGGAGGGGCAGAATAGGAGAAGAGCGAGGGTGATGATTGGGGTTGAACAGAATTTAAGGCGTTGTCCTGGTGCATGCCTGGGACTCCCAGGAGGGACAATACACCGGGTGATCSCCTAGTGAGAAAATAGGGCTTAATTGTGGATACTAGTAGAGGGTCCCCGGGCAAGGTTGTCACCGTCCAGATGGGAGGGACTCTTTCCACCCTGAATTTGTGTCTCACACCATGGGTCAGAAGGTGCAGGTTGTTCTCTCCCTTTGCAGGGATGGACAGACTTGTACACTGAAAGTGATAAACTTCCGTGGTGGTAGAAAAATTCAGACGGGGAAAAACAAGCCCCGGGAATGTTTTGCTGCAGTTTCCCTTTCCATTCTGAATACAGCGTTGTAAACCGGACATCTCTTTTAGCAACTGTTTGCATATGCTCCTTCTCAAGAATTTCACTCCCCACCTCTCGAGAGCAGGGTGGTGCAGAGGAATTTGGAAACACTCCCTTTGTCTTCTGCTGGCTTCCTTGCCTTGTGTGCAGCTGCAAAGTGACACAATGTCATATCGTCATTTTGGCACGATACCTTGGGGGCAGAAGAGAGTTAAAGCTATTTTCTAGAAGGGTTGCATACTTCTCCTTTGCAGCGTTTCACAACTCCGTGCTGGCTGTGGCTGAAAACACTCCGGCATGGATTTAAATGTGAGCATCGTGATATCCCAGCTCAGTGTCACTGATAGTTGTTCTTCCACTGTAGTTAACTGTTGCTRTCCTGCTGCTGTGGAACTGGCAGATTTAAATCATGATCCTATTATCTCCCAGATTCAATGTACAATAGTTACTCTGTCCTTAGCCAAAAGAATGATAGGCTGAGTTGCTGCAATCTGGAGATTGGGCAAGAGGACTAATAAATCTTGTGTTGTTGAAACACTAGATTAGATGAAGCCCCTCYGCTGTAAGCAACCAGAAGATACTGCAACTGTAGATATAAGAAAATAAATTCTAAAAGAAATATGAAAATGAAATTACTACTTGTTTGGAAATCCTATTGGTTTGCTCAAGTCCTGACAATGGTACATTAGGAGAGGGTATAGAAACTGAACTGAGAAGTAGGGTGAGTCAGGGACACCAGGATTCTTCCACTACCCATGCTTTGCCTGCTGTTGGGGCAGGAGGATTTCACGCTCAGGGATTTCACTGGATGTAGGTCAAGTTCCATGTCCAGTGTTTTCAAGATATATGCCATGTAACACACCATCAGAGTCACACTTCCCATGACCGTTTCCTGCTGCTCAGGCTTCGTTTCAGAATTTTCTTTCTGTTTTCAGGGGTTCTACTGCGCAGAGGAAACAGTTTTCTTAGGTGTTCAAAAAAGGAAACTGCCAGGCAGAGGCACTATCACCTCACCCATACTAATAAAGCAAAAGCAATTGCAGCTGCCCCACCACAATTCTTCACTCCGTTTATTTCTGCCTCCAAGTATCTTGCCACAAAGCAAATCTTTCCTACCAGCCGGATTTCCAAATGCCATTGCTCTGGGCATGGTACGCACTACTCAGTGTACTTTTGTCATTTTGTCAGTACTTTGGACACTTTTCAATGCTAAATCTTCCTTTCTGGATGAGCAAGGGGCGAATACATAGAAACATGGTGTGTGTTTTTCTCCAGGCAGAAAGAAAGACATGAGGTGTGGATTTGTTCTCCTCTTTCTTTTTTTCTGGACTGAAAACCACTAGAAAATCTGAACAAACAACCCACATACTTTAACTGCAAGAACTTTGCAACAAACCTTGTTGAGGGAAGTTATATTGATAAAATTAGAGTTTCACATGATGTGTACTTGCAAGTATTTGAGATATCTTTGAGAATGACTCTCTGCATCCCTTTGTATATCTGTTTATTGACCTTCTGGGATGTGGCAGTGTCTATGAGACTAACTTGTTCTTATATCCAAAAAAATAYTCCACATCTGTTCTGCACTGGAGGAAAAAAGTATAGGCATCATTAATGCCATTAAAACAGGCTCTGGGGGAAAATTTCATTTGACTGAGAAAATGCTGCAATTGTGGCCCCCTGGATTTCACAGCTTCCTGTCTGATTCTTTTCAAGACTTGTGAGGCCAAAACAGCAAGTTCGCTTCAGAAATGACTGGCAGTCCTGATACAGGCATCACGTGGGGGAGAGGTGCAAGGAACTCCTTCATCCTGGTATTCCTGCAGAACAGGTGTTGTAAGAAGTTCTGTCATGCTCAGAAACACTGTGGGTGGGTAATATTTGCTGGCCCCTTGCATTTTGGCTATGAAGGATGGACAACAGAGCCTCTGCAGGGCATGAACAGTAARCAACAGAAAGGAGATGCAGGGACATGACTATTTTTTATTCCAAAAGCAGTTTTAGTTAAAAGACCATTGGAGGGCATCTGAAATATTGTCTCTGGCATTTGTGTCCATGCAGTTATCTCATTTGGGTGTGTCTGCCTACTGCCAAATCTGGGAAGGTATGCTTGTCAGGGTGGTGGGTGAGCAAAGGGTGGAGAGAGCTGTGGGYTCCTGCAAAAGAGATTGGAATTCTGTGCTTTGTTGAGACCTTTGTTGAGGGTTTCAGTAGAGCTCACCTGTCAGTGCCAGTATCTGGGGTTGTTCCATCCATCTCTCTGCCTGGCTTTGGCTGCTCTTACCCACATCATTTCCCAGAATTCACACCACTAACCAGCAGCTGTCACTRTGTTGGGCTTTTTGACTCCCTAAAAATGAGGTCTCAATCCTTCCTGTTCCCACTCCAGCAACTCAGTTCTCAACTGAAACAAAAAAGGGGGGTGGGAATAAGATTACCACTGAAAAAACAACATTTGCTTTTCAGAGATCAATCAGCTCTAAAAGCCAGCATCCTGTTTTGGGTTGGCTTTATACATCAGGTCTGACACCGGCAGCCCAACAGGAAGCAAATGTGAGCAGCACTTTTGTATGGGAAATTTGCTTTCTGAGCCCACCATTCTGCTCAGTGTGCTCTGAGGTGTCTGCCTGTGCCCCTCAGCATTAAACCAGCCCTGCGGACGCTGAGCCTCACCGTCCTCTTCAGGGACTTATCAGCAGGAAATGAACTCAGCTGGAACGCTTTGTACCATTGACATTTTTTTGCTCGGGTCCTGCAGCTGCAGCAAAGCACGTCTGAGAGCACAAACAYACTCACACACATACACACGTGCCAGCACCCACACAGACACATGGACCGGTGTGCCAGACTCTCTGCACCCCTGGGAATTGATGGCAATGGGAAAGTCCTGTTACCAAATTAAATGAAATGGAATTAAATGAAAGGACATGGCCATAAAGTGGCTCTCACTAGGCTGAGCTGAAATGTGAGATTGCTTGGTTTTCATGGTGGCCATGTAAAAAAGTAGGTGGTAGAGACTAACTGAACAACTGAATCATTTCACGCGCTCCCAACTGTCAGCTGGCACCTGAGYGCTAATATCATGGTTCAGACTAACCAGGCTTCTTAATTAAGGCTTCTTAATTGCCAGGCTCAGGACAAAAGCCTGTACCCAAGCAGAGTAAAGCTAGGAAAATGCTGTGTGGTACAAGGARCATTTCACCGGTGATGCTCGTAGTAATGAGACCACACTGAGGTGGATCACCCTGGTCCCACCAGGGACTGGTGTATATGGTAACTGCTGTCATCTCTTGCAGCACCTGAATATTTTTGGAGACCTCTTCTTTCACTGCTGATCTGCTTGACTTCAGAGAACAAACTGAGCTGGGGTATTAAGAGGCATGGCTGCATCCCATTGTACTCCTAAAGTGGTGGGACAAGTATTATCAGCATGAGCTACTGACAGCTTGCTTCCAGACTGAACAATTCCTCTATAATTACTAGTTTCAGTACACCAGGCTAAACATAAACCAACAACACCAGTCAGAACATGGATATTGACACAATTCTGGATACATGTGCTGGTTTTGATCACACTGTTCTCAGGCCCAGTCCTACTGCCCATCTCTCAAAGTCCTAGAAAGCAGCATCACAAGCAGCGGCCCTTGCCAGCAGCTTCCTCAGCACGCAGCCCAAGCTCTGACTGAACAAGATTTTCTGACTGAAAATGGAACAACATTTCTGGTCCCAAACAGGTTATGCACAGAGGATGTTTGCCTTGCCACTGCAAGCCAGCTRTGTGGTGGCTGTTAAAAAAGCAAAAGGACTTTTGGCTGAACACCATGCCAGCGCTACAGTAATTTTACCTATCTTCTAAAAATACACTGAGGAAAGAGTCACAAGCTGAATTCCCAGCCAAGGTAATTCAGGAAGTTTGAGGGTGAGAACAGATAAATGTCTTACACACAAACACACACCACCTTGCTGTGCTCAGCAAAGGTCTGAGTTGTGTGTCATTTCTTAGYAGCAGCAGGGCTGCGTTGCTCAGCAGGGCTGATATCTCCTCAGCAGACTATGTAACTAACATTTTTAGAAACAATTTGCWTGGTGGGTCTCATGTGGCAGCAAGCATTGGCACTTCAAAGCACTGAGGACTTCAGCTTTTGCCAGAGCTTACTCACAGGTCAGTCTCTTCTGTCACAGGCAGCGGCAAGTGACTTTAATCACCCTGGCAAGTGACTTTAATCTTTAAACCCTGGCAAGTGACAGCCTGGCTGCTATTTGGATGCAGAGAGCCAGCCTGGCTCGGAAATCAAGCACTGCACGCAGCGAGACTGCACAGCCCCCAAGTGTTATCTGGACACAGAAAGGTTTCTGTTCACGGACAGACTGCATGACCTAGACAGGAAGCCCTGGACCAGTGCACAGCTTGGCTGTGTCTGAAGAGAAACCGTGCCCAGCCCATCCAACAACCAGGCTGTCTACAGAGAGAGCTGGCTCAGGGAAAACCTCTGAAAAGGGCAGACAAACCACAACAGTATGCCAGCCAGGATGGAAACCTTGCTCACTTTCTGACTGAATTTTTTGAAATGCAATGAAGCATATGAGTTGGAAAGGAGAACTAGACCCTAGCAGTATTTTCTTGACCCTGTTACGCAAGGATGCTGAGAGCCCCAAGACATTGCAGCACAACAGAGAGAATCCTTCTCCTTTCTCTGAGAGCTGACTGAGGAAGTGAGAGAGCCAGGAGATTTACTTCAGATAACTCATCATTTCAGTGCAAGTTGAAAGACTTAAAGACCCTGACCCTAGAGGTTCACTCCACACTACCCATCCCAKAAATAGGGGGCCAAAACTAGCCCCCTTCATTCAGTGCAATGTGCAAGACAGTCTACACACCATTGCGCACTGCACAGACGACTTAGCCTAATAGCTCCTGTTCTATGTAGTGGAGAGACAATGCTATTTGCTTCCACAAATCCTGCTGAGCACTGAATTCCCACCAGACTCATCAGCTCAAATCCTTCAGGCCACTGGAGCTGGGAAGCAGCAGCAGCCCCTGGTGGCAGCGGAGAGGGATGGCTGCAGATGTGCCAGAAGGCTGGAGGGGCAGGGGGAGGCGAGGAAAACTTGACAGACTGTGTTTGGGTGGGTGTTTTGTCTTGCCACCTGAGATCCTGCTGTATGGTCCCCCCAGTGGCAGGGGGAGCGAGGGATTATCTTCCACCCTCTCCACGAGGTTTACTTTGACTGTCTTCTTTCCTTTCTATCCTTTTTTTTTACCCCATGGCACAGGTTGTTACAGATGCAGTCTCTTCTCTCATAACTTACTCATTTCCTCCCTCTGGCTGTCTCCTCAGCACTCTGCCCTGAAGTATCACTTGTCCTGTAGCACAAACAAGTTCAGCCACCCACCAGAGCCAGGTGGCTGCATGTCAAGGGTTTAGAGCATCCCTTTACTTGGATCCAGGTGGMAATACGGTAATCCACCATCTTTTAGGACAAGTTAATCAAATCTTAGTATTACGCCAGTTAAAAGCACCTCTTTATACAAATCTTTATAAAGTTGTTGAGCACAAAGTGATTGATAGAATAATGTTTATTTGGGTCAGCAATGCTTTGATGACCCTTCAGTGGAAGGTGAAATGGTGTTCAACTGACAAAATCAAGTCTTTTCAAGGTGACAGCTCTGACATACATCCTGCAGTGTGCAAGAGAGAACACCGCAGCTCGCCTAATGGCAAATCATCCTATGGACTCTGTGGTCCAAAACAGATTGTCCCTGCTGCTGTGATTAAAGGACAAGGTTTTCCCAAGGGAAGGCTGGGCCCCAAATACCTGTGGTAACACAGAACCAGCCTTAGAGAGTGATTTAGCAACAGGCGGGGATAGTGGCGCCGATCACTATCACCCTTTGGATCAAAATCACAGAATTGTTATGGCTGGGAAAGACTTAAGATCACCGAGTCCACCGGTTAACCCAGCATCCCATGCTTACCATTAAATCATGTCCTCGAGTGCCATATCATGCGGTGTTTGGACACTTCCAGGATGAGATAGATTTCCCCAGGCAGACAAAGCAGGGGCGATGCCAGGGGTCGGCTGTAACTCATCCCGGGTGCCCCAGACCGCGCAGAACGGGCCGGCTCCGAGCCGGGGGGTGCCGGAGGGTGGGATCAGCTTAGGCCCAGCCGCCCCGGACCGCCCGCACGGGCGGGAGCCGCCGGGATATTGCGGGGACATCATAGGGACACGGCCGGGACATGGCCGGGACATCGCCGGGAGCCGCGTCCCGCCAGCTCCCCCCACAGGCCGAGGGCACCACCTTCCCCTCTTCCCTTGATGGACCGGGGGAGCCGCTCGTGGTCAAGGAAAGGGGATCGTCAGGGAATTCTGTGGGCCGAGGCCGGCGCGGTGGGGTTTGACAAGACCAATAATGGCATCCTGGCCTGGAGCAGMACTAGTGTGGCCAGCAGGRGCACAATCAGGGCGGGAACTGTCCCTCTGGTGAGGCCACATCTCGAATCCTGTATTCAATTTTGTGCCACTCACTTTCGGAAAGACACTGAGGTGCTGGAGCATGTTCAGAGAAGGGCAACGGGCAAGGGTCTGGAGGAGCGGCTGAGGGAGCTGGGAGTGTACTTAGCCTGGAGGAAGCTCAGGGGGACCTTATCACTCTCCACAACCACCTGAAAGGAGGGTGTAACCAGGTGGGAGCCTTTTCTCTGAGGGAACAAGTCACAGGTGAGAGGACACGGCCTCAAGCGGCGCCAGGGGATTTTCGGTATGGACATCATGAGGAATTTCTTCCAGAAGGGATGATTTGACATTGGAATGGGCTGCCCAGGGAGACGCGGGAGGTTTTAAGACAGGCTGGCTGTGTCACTCGGTGCCATGGTCAGGGTCACACGTTGGACTCGCTGATTTTGGGTGACTCAGAGCAGAGCTCCCATTGGCTGCCAGGCTGCCGGTGACTCCGCCCCCTCCCGGGGCCGCGCTCGCGGTGTTGTTTACACCGGCTGCGCGCATTGGCCCGCCCCCAGCAGCTCTCATTGGATGAGGAGTGCGGACCTCGCGAGCCCATTGGCTGGGAGCGGGCGGGCCGGCTGATCACTCCCGAGCTTGCCYCTCATTGGCTCTTCGGGGCGGGCAGCACTGCTCCCATTGGCCAGGCGCGGCGGGACCCCGCCCCTCCCGGCGCGGTGCGGGGGCTGTGCGGGGAGGCCCGGCGGTCGGTGGCGGGCGGTGTTTGCATATCAGTGTGCCCTGCATATCAGTGCGTACTGCGTATCAGTGGCCGCAGCTGTGCCGGGAGCGATGTCCGTGTCTTCAGCTGGCCGGGGAGCGATGGCGCGGCTGCTGCTCCTGTGCGCCGCATCGGCTCTGCTGCTGGCGGCCGTCGCGGCTATCCCGCCGCCTGAGGAGGCGGCGCGCATGGCGCGCTTCGTGCTGCACAGCTGCGACTGGGGCGCGCTGGCCACGCTGTCGGTGCAGGAGGGGCTGCGCGGCCGCCCCTTCGCCAACATCTTYTCCCTCAGCGACGGCCCGCCCGGGCCCCGTGGCGGCAGCGGCGTCCCCTACCTGTACCTGACCGACATGGAGATCTCCGTGCAGGACCTGGAGGTGAGCGGGAGCGGTGGGGCGGGGGAAGGCGCTGTCCCTGCRCCAGCACCACGGGTGTGAACAGTGACCCCACAAAGGACACTTAGAGACGCACCCAGGTTACTCACGCAGCGTCTCTTCGGTTGGTTGTCTGCSCTTTTTCATCTCACCAGCAAGTGGTGACTGCAAGGCAGCGTGACAGCGCTGGTTCACAGGGCCACTTGTTGGGGCGTGAAGGGCCCTCTGGCCATCATCCAGCCCAACCCCTCTGCCAGAGCAGGGTCACCTGGTGACACAGGGACATGTCCAKTTGGTGTTTGAATGCCTCCAGGGAGGGAAACTCCACGACCTCCCTGGGCAGCTCTTCCAGTGCTCTGCCCCCCTCAGTAGAAAATTCTTGCCCATGTTCAGCTGAAACTTSGTGTATTTTAGTTTATGGCTATTCCATGGATAAAGCCTCGTTTGTCAACYCTGGGGACAATTATTAGCCCTAGAATACAGCCCTAGCTGTCTGTGGTGGCATTCAATAGACCTCATGAGAAGTTCCCACTGAGAAATAGCAGAGCAGCACCAGACAAAGAAAGCGTTTGGAGCTTCCAGAACCATTGAGCAAAGAAATGAGGTGCCACAGAATATTTAAACAGAGGATGTCACAAAAAAAGGACTGAAAATTGTCACTGTGGGACTAAAGSAAAGACAATTCCTGCACATGTTGCTGAAGGAATAGTAATTCAATTATTGGAGCTTACCGTAAAGGGAAGTATACAAGGAAAGGCGGCATTGGCATGCTGAGATTCTGAGTGTGTGATTGGCCTTGTACCAGATGTTTTGCTTGCCTGTGGCCAAGAGTTCACTAGAAAGTTAAGGAAATAGTAGTTGTATTCCTCCTTTACTAGATTTTTTTTCTTTTAGTAATTGTTACAATATTAGTAGAATAAACACATTAGTAGAAAGAAATAACGGTGATTTTTCAGGCTCTGTTTTCTATTTTTTTTGTTTGTTCTGTGTCATGTTTTAGTTTGTTACTTTAAGATAGTTTAATTATGTACCTAAGTACTGTAGAGAGCCTAATTTATCCTGCCTGATATCTCCATTTCCACCCCAGGTGCAGCTGTTTGCTTTCAGAATAACATAAAACCTACAGTATAAACTGCTACTGAGTATTTCCTTCAGAAGGCTTCTCAACAGGTCCTTATTTGCTGCTACAGGACAGAAACACCTAACATGTGATAATCACGTGCAAGGGAGAAGGTGCCGAATAATCATGAGTCAGCTGCCTCAGAGTTAAGCAACTTCCTATCTCWCAAGTGKCTGCTYCTGTTTCATGAGGTCACCGGTGTTTAAGTGACTTYGGAGGGCTTCTCTTGGACATGAGCCCTTCTAATGAAATTTCTCAAAGAAGGGGAACTTCTGTTACTGGGAGATAATGACCCTTAGTACTTGACCTTCTGCACTTCTGTTTTGCACCAATGTTTTTCAAGCCATGGACAACAAATTAGTTTTTAGAAAAACAATCAGATACAGRTTCTTTAATCCTTCAAGTTAGGTGTTTCACTTAAATACTCAGGATTTTTTTTTAAAGCTGACTTCTAAAGCTCACTTTAAATTTCCAAAGAGCTGACCGTTTTGGGGGAACCAGCAGGCTGTTTTGAAGAGAGGAGTTGTTTGTTTTTAAGTGATTTTATCAACGGTTTCGAAGCCCATTTGGTTGCCTTCTGAACAACATTTTGTCCTTCTCTCAGAATTAACTTGATGGAGTTCATTGTATTTCCTTGTCTTCTGTACTGTCCCTTGTGTCTGTGAATTGTAATATATCATCATTTGCATGTGAAATAGCTGGGCTATTTCTGGGCTATACTGAATTCAGAGTTTTAARGAGTGTGTTCTGTGATGTCTGCATTTTACACTAACAGGCTTCCCCRCACTTCTGAACTGGGCTTTATTTCAGATTCAGAGCTCGTCCAAGTAGGCTTTCAGATGTAGTCAGGAAAAGGTGATGACAGATCTGTTCTTTTTGCCAGTACTACTGAACTGAATGAAGTACCAAGAACTGAATAAAACACCGAAAATGAAAGTGGGTGTGACATTTCTCTCAYRTASGTGTATAAATGTCTTATCTTCTTGCATTTCAGGTCAACTCAAATGCCTCCTTGACTGTGTCTTTGGCACAGACTCCTTACTGCAAGAAGCACGGATATGACCCCCAGAATCCCCTCTGTGCCCACATAATCTTCGTTGGGAGCATTGTGAAGGTAAGCAGCTGAAAGCTGACACTGGATGAGGTTGTGTGCATCAAATAGAATTGTTTAGAGGAGCAAGGAGAGAAAGGTGAGAAATTCTGTGCAAAAGCAAATGCAGAGATGTTCTGTGCTGTATTACCCAAAGGTCAGCTTGTAGTTTGTGTGAAGAAAATGAAGTCACCACTTGATTTTTTTCAGAAACTTTGTTGACATGCTTTCAGCAAGGAACTTGGCAGGGACAGTGGTACAGGAGATCTCCCTCATTCCTGTAGATGTGTTCTGAAACTAARAAGTATAAGGCCATTATTTTGGAAAAACCTTTATACTTCATTCACATCTCTCTTGTTCAGTTAAATTCTTTGGCTCGTGCAGTGTCACATGTGTGCTTCTGAAACTCTGTCGAAGTAAATACTAACCTGAGCTACAAAATTCCAGGTATTATAGACAAAAAGTGTGCATTGTATGATCTGGTGGCGTTGCTGCCAGGGCAGTGTTCTTTTGTGCACCAGTACTTTGGTGTCTYGTAGGAGGAACTGAGAACTGCATGTGTTCTTCATTGAAGATCCTAATCCCATTATTGAGGATAAYGATTGAGGATGAGAACTAGTCATCACTACYGTCTCTTACATGATAGTCTAAATTCTTATTTGGTGTTTTCACAGCTCTGGTATTTGTAGATTGTACTCAGCAATCTTTTAGTTGTTTYTCATCAATAATGGTATTGGATTTATTTAGGTAGCTTTTCTCTATATAACACCATACCTAGAGCTCTAAAWTRTTGATTTAACCCTTTAAACACCTTCACATTGTGRTGTATTAAGTGTTGTCACTTTTCTCAGCTTCCCTTCTCTGTAGATTCTGTTACACCATTCTCTTTGGGGGAGTGTGTGTTTGCAAATGTCTGAGCACAGTGGATCTGTTTCTGTCAGTTTGAATAAGCAGGTGCAGAGGAGGTAAAATTACACCTAAGACATCACATTATAATAATTCACCATACTTCTCTGTTTTGTGATTTGTTGAAAGATGTATTCTTATGTTGATGAAGTACTTTCTTGCTCATACKAACTCTAAAAGCACCCTTTTTATTTAATGTTAAAATCCACTACCTTGGAMTTGTTGTCTGTGTYACACAGCTGCACACCACACTGAAGATGAGCAGACTCAGCCACAGTAATGAGTCCCTTGGGGCAAGACATGGCTGATCTAAGAAAAGCACACTGCAGTCAGCAGTCTTTTTTAGCTAAAGTTTATCTCTGCATGACTGTCTTACTGTGTTTTTTGTYTAGGTGAATGATTCAGAAGCAGGCTTAGCAAAAAAAGCATTGTTCAGTCGCCACCCTGAAATGGAAAGTTGGCCTAAGGATCATAATTGGTTCTTTGCCAAATTCAACATCACCAATATTTGGGTCCTGGACTACTTCGGTGGATTGAAGATTGTGACACCAGAAGAGTATTACAGTGTCAAGCCTTAGTAAGTACTGACATTTTTCATGCCTAACTCATTGCATTTCAAGCCTGTAAAACTTCTTATTGTTAAGAGGAAGGAGTGACTCCTGTAGAGTGGGTACAGTTCACTGTCCTCTGTTTTGCAGGACAGATGATGTTTTAGTCTGATAATTTAAAGTAGTGAGACTATTCAGCATTTATGAAGCTGTATTAATGGGATTGCTGTTGAATCTGTCATTAGGAAATTGAAGTATAGAGAAATTGTGTTCTATTGCCTATACAAAACTAAGTCTTTAAAATTTTCAAATATATTTTAGTACAGTCAACATGAATTATGCATTCATTTCACTCTTATTCTTACTCCTTGTAGGTGGAAGAAGATCCTTGGTGATGCTGACGTGGAAATGAATGACTTTTGCTGTTTCATGAAAGATTTATTTTTTCTATGTACTGTAGAGTTGAATTAATAATACAATAAATCAAGCACCTTGCATTGTAATGAGCATGTATTACCCTTATGAAGCTGATTTAACTTCTCACTAAATTGAATCTTGTCACACTGAAAAACCTTTGTGCATAAGCAGTAAATTTTATTCATTGGATGTGAATTTGGAAAGGTGTCTGACAGTGTGCATTCATAAATGTTGTGGTTACTGGAATTTAAAGGATTAGTCCAGTCCTAAAACTTTCAGTGCCTTAGTTAAAWAATATGTTTCTGAGCACTTTCCAATATTATTTTTAATACCAGTTAAGTTTAGAATTTTATGACAAAAGTCCTACAGGAGGGCTCAGTGGAATGGAAARCATTGCTTACATTAGAGTGGCAAATGACGTGCTGAGCTCCTAAATTCCTGTTAAGAATTTTCTTTGCACACTGATAAATGCACTTGTTTGAGCCATTTTCCTGTTTTACTGCTTATATTGAATGTGCTGTAGAATGCAGTTGTGTTCATGCCAACTGTAGCTGTACCTCAGGATAAGTTCTTGGTGATTCCTCAGCTGACTATGTGCCCTGACTCTGTAATAGAAGCAGGTTAGTGCTACCTGAAGTGTTTGACTTGAGTGTAAGAAGAGTAGTGGCTYGTCAATGCAGTCAGCATGTTGTGAAGGGTAAATGYTTCCTGATTGGGATTCTGAAATCCTCAGCTTTGTTAGTCTGMTCAAATGGCAATTTATCAGCTTTTATTACCTGCAGCAGTAGAACTGAGCAGATTTGGGGGKTTGGAAGCCTTACAGAGCAATTTTGAATTAGTAACCCAGAAATTAAAAATAAGCAATACAGTATGACACAAATGATTCATGATTTGTAGGGAATTAAAATTAATGGAAGGTGTGCATTAGTTCTGTGYTTAAGTTGCACACAACCACAAAAACCATCTTATTGCATCCTCTCCAATCTGTGTGCTAAGTTCACAAATACTRAAAAGTGTTTATGAAGAAATAAGTTGATTTTACAGAGAACAAATAATACTACAAATAATACTACCTAGTTGACCTAGAGTAAAGAATTTAGACTCCTTAGGGGAGATTGATATGTAGAACAGTGGGATTTCTCATGTAGAATCTCTRTCTAMTAATTTTGTTGTTATATCACTCCTTTTCTCAAATACTGGGATAATTTGTGACAGTATTTTTTATGTAACTTATTAAGATTTCCTTCTCCACAAGGGGAGGAARGGTACTTAGTACTGTTCTACTATTTTAAAATTAGTTTAGGATCAAAAAAAACTTACTATATAGAAGTAATTTATGTTGAATAGATAACACTGATATTTAATATGAAATTGAAAAMTATTTTTATATAAGGTATGACAGTTGTGAAAACTCAAATGAGTCTCTGACATGGACTCAATCCTTTCTGTGAGGACACCTGAATGCATTACATCTCACCCTATAACTTCTGGTGTGTTGGACTGATGATGCTGGGCTTTTGTTAAAATTAAAATATTTTTTGACAAGTGGTGTGAAGCATTATTTATTGCATATCCAAGAATTATTATCTCTCTCTTTCTCTCTTTCATACAAGCACTCTCTTTTCAGTGTTCCAGTCTTACTCTTGCTCTGATATCTTTCATTGGTGCTGGAATTAATAGGGAAGTATCCCTACTTCCACCTGGCCTCCCCTCCTTGGATGGAATCAGTGTCTTTGTTCTTCACTTTCCTTCCCACCTCGAATGCTGTGAGATGGAAAGTTGGAAAGACAAATGCCATCTACCRTCCCACACATCCCCAACTTCCTTCTTCCACAAGCTGCTTCTGCACCCCCAGATTCCTTGCTGGTGTGGCAGAGTGAGAAGCAGGAAAGGTCTTGATATTGCATAAACAATAACTAAAACACTGGGGTGTTTTCAAGGCAYAAATTCAAAACTTAGCCCCAAGCAAGCTGCTCCAATAAAAACCAACCATACAACTCAAACCTCCATCCCAGCCAAAACCATTACACCACATTCAAAAGTATTGCTTTCATTTGAGGGTTTGCTACAGAATAAGGCTGGCTTTGTTTCTGGTTTTCTTGTCCTTTTCGTACCAATCCCAAGATATTTTCTGTTTGGAAGTGGAAGG